TAAGCATGCCTCAGGAAGCCTTGGTCGGAACAAAGCTCAGCTGATAGGCATGGCAGTTTGGACTACCTTACCTCAATTGTTTTCCTCACCATGGCTGCAGTAGATGGTTAAGTTTTAGAGGTGTTTTCAAACACTCCCTGCGCACTGCATGCTCACCAAACCGGTTGTTACACCAGTTGAATCCCACCGCTCTCTAGGTTACATGGTGTTGTATTTTAGCCGCTACATCACATTGCTTGCTTATGATTAGCTAATAATTTTAGCTCTCCAACTTGCTTTGCTCCAAACAGCTGGCTGGGGAATTTCTGGGAGTTGAAGTCCACAAGCCTTAAAAGTCGCCAAGGGTTGGACGCAGCTTGCTTTAGAAGATAAAAAAATTAGTATATTCTTTTGTTGAGTGCACCAGTATCCATAACAAGGGTTAAAAAAAAAAGAAAGAAAATCCAGTCAAGATTATGACTAAAGTTCCAATTTATGTATAGCCTTAATTCTCATGATGGAAGACACCATTTTATTTCATTTTTTAAAGTTACCCTAGCAAAATGTTCTTATTGATAAACACGTTTGGAGCAATGCAAAACACAATAGCAAAATCTGCTAAAAAATTGCTGCTCCCCCTGCCCACTTTCAGCCTGGCGAAATGACCACTCCCAAAGTTCAATGAAGGTGCAGACAAAACGGTTCATGTAATTAAATTTATTCTTGCAATGGATTACATTTAAAGGTGTCAGAGGTGGACAGTGTCTGGGAGGGAAGGAAAAAGAACATTTTATTTCAAAACAGAGCATTTCACCTAAACACAAGGAGCTCTCACTGATACAACTCGGTGTGTTTTTGTTCCGTTCCCTTGGACAGAAGGGAGGGGGAATAAAATGTACATATTTTTCTTTGAAACTCGCGATGCCAGAGAGAGTTGCCAAGGATCAAAATGACAAGAGGTCTAGATCAAGACGATTCGTGAGAGGCCGTGATTTTTGAAGGACGACACCATAAATCTAGTTGTTTATGGAGATTCTCTATCATCCAGGTCAGGGTTGTATTTCTTTTCCCCAAAGGGCAACTGGATGTTATTTTTCCTGGAAGACGTTTCGCTTCTCATCCGAGAACTGAAGAAGTTTCTTTGATGAGAAGCGAAATGTCTTCTCATCAAAGGAGAAACTTTAAAAAAAGGAGAAACCTTCTGACAATGAGAACTATCAACCCATGGAACGGAAGTTGCCCTCAGAAGTTGTGGGAGCACCATCACTTGAGACTTTCAAGAAGAGATTGGACTCCCATCTATCAGAAATGGTGTAGGTTCTCCTACTTGGGCAGGGGGCTGGACTAGATGACCTACAAGGTCCCTTCCTCTTATTATCTGTTATCTGTCTTCAAAGGGAAAACAAAGTCCAGTTGCCTTTGGGGATGATAAAAGTAGATTTTTTTTTTCTGCATTAGATGAGCTTGCTCTGTTTCATTGCCTCCAAAATTCCTCTAAAAAAAAATGCAATTCTTGGAAATTTGCAAAATGCTTTTCAAACTGATGGATAAAACACATTCCACCTGTCCCTTTATCCCAAGCCTGATAATTCTGCACCCAGAGTTTAATCAGGGAGAAACTCCTTGCCTTAGAAAATGAAATTTCATGCAGTTTCTTTTGTCTTGTTAGTAGCTCTTCATTTTTATTTTTTTCGAACGAGGCCACGAATCACGTTTAAATCTATGCTGGGTGGACCAAGGCAGAGAAAAAGCAGGAAGTGATTACAAATTAGTTCAATTATAATTAACCCCCTTTCTGGAGTAGATCAGTGAGGTGGCCTGGTGAAAGCAGAATCTAACTTGGCTAACTTGTGTGTTTCCAAAACAAAAAGAGAAGCCATTACACGTCATTTTATCATTTTCTCTTACGGCGTTAAAAAGGTCGACTACAAATAACAGGAAATTCCTCCCTATGATACACTGTGTTTAGTTAGGGCTGGATTGATGGGTTGAGTTTGCATCTGGCTGCTCCATAAGTGGGATAATTTGGTAAAAAATAAAATACAGATAGTCCTCAACTTACAACAGTTCGTTTAAGTAACCTCTCAAAGTCACAGTGCCACTGGAAAAAAAGTGAACGTTGTTATGAATGTTGTTTTTCACTCGGGACAGCATCCCTCATGGTCACGCGAGCAAATTTCAGGCACTCGGCGCAACTGGTTCACATTTATGACGGCCACGGCCGTCCCGAGGTTGCGCAATCCCCCTTTGGCAAAAGTCCACGGGAAAGTCAGCTTCGCTTAATGATGGTGTTACAAATTTAACATCTGCAGCGATTTGCTGAAAACAAACATGGCAAGAGATGAGGCGAAAGTCACTTCACAAAACATTGTGCTCAGCAGCATAAAATTTGGGGGCTCAAACTGTGGTCGTAAGGCGAGGACCACCTGTGAAAACATTGCAAGCTGCATTGAATTGGTTCATCCCAAATGGACCAGGCATCGCTCCTTACAAAGAGACAGAGAAGAATGCATAGATCACAGAAGCAGCACAACAAACGCTCTGTAAAATCATTGGGGTTTGTTCACACTTGTCATCCGTTTGCTGGGGGAGGGTGGGGAGAAGAACCTGGTTTATTGGATACAGAAAATACCATCCTGAACTTGCTCGCCCACCAGGAGTTTCCAAAGCTGTTTCTCTCAATGAAAGCTAAGTGGAAGCCCTTCAGGAAAAATCAGATTTAAGATTTTTCAAATGTGTTCCAAAAACTTGACTTCAAATGGGTTTGTTGCCAGCCAGCCCAGCTCAACACTGAAATTTTATTCAAATTTAAAACTAGTCTACGGAGATTCTCCATCATCCACGGTTGTCCCAAAGTTGGTTTTCCAAAACCAACTGTATTTTCTTGGCGTTTGGTTCCCCCCCCCAAAAAACGTTTCACTTCTCATCCAGGAAGCTTCATCAGTTCTGAACTGAAGAAGTTTCTTGGCTGAGAAGGGAAGTGATTCTGTGTATTGCCTAAGCCCGTTTTTCTGGAACACACGTTTGGCAAGAAACGGAGAACACAAAATCTTATTTGTTTTGGGCTGTTATCCAAAGGAATAAGGTAAAGGTAAATGTTCCCCTCACACATACATGCTAGTCGTTTCCGGCTCTGGGGGGCAGTGCTCATCTCCGTTACAAAGCCGAAGAGACAGTGCTCTCTGAAGACGTCTCTGTGGTCATGTGGCTGGCAGGACTAAACGCCGAAAGTGCACAGAACGCGGTCCCTATTTTTCTACTTGCAATTTTTACGTGCTTTTGAGCTGCTAGGTTGGCAGAAGCTGGGACAAGTAATGGGAGCTAATGCGGCGCTAGGGATTCGAACCACTGAACTGCCAATTTTTCTGATCGACAAGCTCAGTGTCTTAGCCACTGAGCCACTGCATCCCTTAACTGAAGGAATAAGGAGTTTTAAATCCAAAGGTGTTTTTCCAAAAGGCAATTGGATTTCCTTGTTGTTTTTCCTTGAAAATGTTTTGCTTCTCATCCAGGAAGCTTCTTCAGTTCTCCTTGGATGAGAAGTGAAATGATTTCACTTAAGTCCTCAAAAAAACCCCAAACCTTTTATTGGAGTTGTTTGGAAGAATAGTAACAACTTGGGTACAAAACCTACAACTATCGATGGTCGAAAAAATAGCTACAATAAAAATGAATATTCTACTGAAGTTATTATTCTTGTTCCAAACAATTCTGAAATGAAACGATTTCAAGGGGGAAAA